GTTCCAGGACTGGGAGAACTTCCTGTACATTGAGCCGGAAATCATCTCCAAGGCGATGGGCTGGCTGGTCCAGCACCAGGACGTGCGGACCGGTGCCTTCCATGAGACGAGCAACTACAGCATCCCTCTCGACCCCAAGATGAACCCCAAGGTTTGTCGACTCATAGACGACGACTTGAGGGTAGAGGCCAGGACTGTCGTTCGGTCGTGTTTGAAGTGTATATGCTGGGAACAAGGCACCCCGTGGGTGGGTTGGGTGGGCGCGACTGCGTCTGGGTGTCAGCCACTCCGCGACGGGCTTCGGCGTCACGTCGTCTCTGTGTGGCTAGATGCGTCACCGCGGCCGTCCGTGTTATCTCCGCCTCTGGCGTCACCACCTCCGCCCTCGTGTCACCGTCACGGGTCGTGTCCGCCGCTGCCGGCCGTGCAATCTCCGCCTCTGACGTCACCACCTCCGCCCTCGTGTCACCGTCCCGGGCCGTGTCCGCCGCAGTCGTCCCGGCTGGCTGACCCGGTGCCGCTGCGCAACATCTCGCTGACGGCGCAGGCGCTCATCACGCTCTCGGCCACCATCGACGCGCTACAGGGCGACCTGCGCGCGCGCGCCAACGACGCCAAGATCGGCGCCATCAGGCGAGTCTCCGTCGCGGCGTGGCCGCCGGCGGCGCGGGGATGGCGCGGACGCTGTGTGCTACAGAGGAAAGTTTGTTGGGAATCCCGAACAGGTTGTGTTGAATACAGTGGAGCTGCAGGCGTGTGTTGCTTTACTTGCATTGACGCACGTGTCATTAGCCAAGTGTGCGTCGTGGCCTTCGATTTATCGCATGTAAGCATGTACATGTACACGCACCTATGTAATTGATATTTGTGGTGTCGTGTCATGCTTCGTGGCAGCAGTGAGCTGGGTTTTCAGTCTTGTTTCTGTGCCGTCCAGTGGCGACGCGGGCTGGGATTGAGGATTTGCACGATGCATTCCATTTGCGAGTGATCGCGTGCCATGCTGTGATGTGCCAGACACCTGCATCCGTATGTGAAACCTTGCCGCGGGCTGAATTCCCTGCGACGCTGGCCCTTCCTGCCAGCGGAGAGGCAGCCAATGTCATGAAATACACTCAGCAGCGGAGTCGGTGCCGTAGGACCGCAATGGCGACAGCGCCAGGTCCTGTTCCCAGTTGCACATACCGTGAAGTGGACGGCTGTGTGCCCCCGTAGTGATCCGTTGTGTCATTTCATCGTCCGGTATCATGTGGTGATTTGATATCATGCGATAATCTGATATCGTGTGATACTCTGATATCATGTGATAATGTGGTATCATGTGATCATCGGGTATCATGTGATGGTCTGGTGTCATGTGATGATCTGGTATCATGTGATGATCTGGTACCGTGTGACGGTCTGGTATCATCTGAGAACACCCGTCTGTGATGGCGCGCCACCATGCCCGTGATGAGCTTCCCTACCCTGTTGTGACGGTCTCGTCCGGCGGCGACAGGTATCTGGAGCAGCAGCTGCCCTCCCTGTCGCGGCCCTACGAGGTGGCCGTCGTGGCGTACGCCCTCAGCCTGGCCAACAGCGGCGAGCGGGATGTAGGCCTACAACCTGTTGGATCGCATGAAACGGAAAGTCGGTACGTCTCGTTACGGCAGTCTCTACTATCTGGGTTTGTTAGTGAGCGTGTAGCTCGGGTGTGTGATACAATGTCCCTTCCGTGGCCGGCGTTCAGCAAAAGGATGACCGCTGGATTGCTTACTTTGCCATTTTTACCGCTTTTCACCGTTTAGATTGCCAACATCGTTCGTGATGCTACAGCATTGTGGACTTCTCCCAGCTGGCATTTGCGCCATGAATTAAACCACACTGGCACCATTGATTTTCGCAGCGCCGATGTTGCTGGACGCGTGTATCTGGAAACGTCATTGATCAACGGTTGGTTCCCAAATGGGTTTCGCGCGCTCTGTGCGGCCTGTGCCGCTGGGCGCGTCGCTCACCGCTGACCGTGGCCATCGCGGCAGATGGCATGATCTACTGGTCACCGGCTCCGATCGAGACCAACCGGCTGACCAACGAGAACAGCCAGCGCAACCTGCTGCAGCCCAAGCTGGAGCAGGTGGGTCGGCCTGGCCGCCGTGCCGCCGCTCGGCGCCGCCGCGGGCTCGTGGTCCGCTCAGGGTGGGCCCAGCCTTTACTGGAGGGAATCGCCGAAGTGTGCGTGTGTGAGAACGCCGGGAGGGGAAGCGGGTCGCGTGCGGCCGGAGCCGCTCGCGCTCGGTCGCCACACGGACGCGCCGTGCCGGCCGACACAGCGCCCTGGGGTGCGGCGAGACGGCGCGGCCCGCCGCTGATCCCGGCCCACGTCACGTGTACCTGACCCAGAGCCCCGGCGGTCATGGCAGGCCCCCAGCTCCGGCCGGGGAGCGTGCTCCGCCTCAGCTGCCCAGCGCGCGGCCGGCCCAGACCTGACCTGACCTGGCCTCACGTGAGCCCTGCCCCCCAGCTGTACGACACCCGGGCGGTGGAGACGACGGCGTACGCGCTGCTGGTCTACCTGATCCGCGACGGCATCAACATCGACCAGGAGAAGATGGTGCTGTGGCTCAACACCATGCGGCTTCACGACGGCGGTTTCATCACCACCACGGTGAGCCTACGGCTGGTGGATTCACCGACGCATGGCAGCTGCAGCTAATGCTGCTGACGCTGCCGACTTCTGATGGATACCTCCAAGAGTGAGGGCCTCATGCGTAGGAATGGGCGCGAAATGGACGTAATGGTCGAAGCAGCGTCGCAAAATTCATTCATTAGGGTGTCCAGGATGTAAATGAAAATTCTTGCTACCAGAGTGCTGGCTCTCCTGTGGCCTCTACACCCAACTCGTCGGCACCAGTCCGCTGCCTTTGACCCCGCACCCAGACATCTGACCTGCCCGGCCCACCTCCACCTTACGATGAATGGGGGTGGTGATAGCGTTGTTTGTGGGGTTGTATAGGTGACATCGTTACGAGCTGACCCATGTGAGAGGGACTGGCATGTCCGTCGGTTCTGTGATGTTCGAACTGTTGTCAAGTAAGCCCACTGGAATGTTGTCGTTCACTGGCTACCGCAGAGACAGATCATGCGATGGAGCTGCTGACTGCTACTGGCTGTGGTGTCATCTCTGGTATTACGACCCGCTCACATGGTCAAGTGACGTCATCCGGCGCCGGTGTGGCGCCAGTGCCGTGTCGTTTTGCCATTGGCGTCAACCTATCGTCTCACGCCTCTCACTCTCCGCGGAACGCCGCTCCCGGCCGTATGACGTCACCCCACGCGCCTATGTGACGTTACACACACACACGGCGTGTTTCGGCCAGGACACGCTGGTGGCGCTGCGCGCGCTGGTGGAGTACTCGTACCGGGCCCGTCTGCGGGACATCACCGACATGCGGGTCAGCATCGAGGCCACCGCTTCCGAGCTCGACTCCACCATCGGCATCAACAACGCCACGCTCGCGCGCACGCGCATCCTGCCGGTGAGTGAGCGTCGCTCCCCGCCGGGCTCGGGAGGAGGGGGAGGGGTGGCGCTCGTGAGCGCTGCCTGTCCGGGACGGGGCGCTGCAGAGTTGTCGGGAGCTGGCGATGGGGGTTGAGGCGACGCCGGCACTGCTTGCGTCTTGGTAGAATCGGCCCAAGTACATATGAACGAAGGTCGTTAACTTGGGCAGGTAGGATTGTCAATGCTTGATTAAATTTAAAGCCCCAGGTAATCGTCAGCAGCAAGCCTTAAGTGGCATACTACAACCTAAAGGCATCGCTTCCTTCATTGCAAAATTCACTCACGTAGCTGGTATGCCCACCCACGCACGCAAAGTATGACTTCAGTATTCCCCAGGTATACAGCATGCGCACTATGCGTTCCTTGACCGAGCTGTCGCCTGACGGTGCGCGGGCCTTCCCATGCTTCCCGTCACGCGTCGCGTGGCCGGCAGTTTGAGAACGTCTGGGGCCATCTGAACGTGATCGGCAACGGCGCCGGTCAAGCGGTCGTCCAGCTGGACGTCAACTACGGCGTCGACACGCAGAACGGCATCAAGCGGCCGCCGGCCAAGTCGTTCGAGCTCAGCGTGCGTGAGGACTTCCAGCGCTTCCGCAACAAGTCCATCGGCATCGTCGACGTCTGCGCCAAGTGAGCGGCTGCAGGCTGGGCTCGGATGTGCCGGCGCTGGGGCGCTGGAGTCGCGCGTGTGCGGAGGTTGATACCGACCGGAAGGGGCCCATCGAGGGTACCGCCCGGAGGTGACTGATCGAGGGTACCGACCGGAGATGACCGCTGCCGTTTAATGTAGCCTGTCCCGCGGTGGAGGTGGAGGTGTGAAGGTATCTGCGGTGGAGGTGTGAAGGTGTTTGCGATGGAGATATGAAGGTGTTTGCGGTGGAGGTGTGAAGGTGTTTGCAGGGGAGGTGTGAAGGTGTTTGCGGTGGAGGTTGAAGGTTTTGCAGTGGAGGCATGAAGTGTTGCGCTAGAACGCCTCTCTCATCTTTGCCACAAATTCGCTGTACGTTGATTGCCATCCCACCCATCAGTTAGCTTTTCTCCAGCACCACGAGTGCCGCACGTCCTCTGAACTCGTCCTCCCCCCCCCCCCGCCCCCCCCCCCCCCTCCGTCTCCCGTCGGCAGGTGGCTGTTCCTGGACGAGGCTCCCCAGAGCGGCTCGGCCGTGCTCGAGATTGAGAACCCCACTGGCTACGTGTTGTACCAGCCGGAGGGCGACGCCGTGGTGCACGCGGCGCGCGCCGGTCGCGCCCCCCAGCTGCGTGACGTCATCGGCGGCCACGCCTACGGCCACGAGCGCGCCACCACGTGGTTCTTCGACTACGTGAGTGATGGCCAGCGGTGCTCCGGCCGTCGGGTGTTGGGCGTCAGGTCGCCGCGGTCATACGGGATGCGACGGGCGCTCTTTTCCTGCTGCTATGGTTGCCGGCCGCTGGATCATGTGACGCATGGCTCAGTGACACTTCCTACACTCTTTTTTTAGCGGTACTTCTCGCACTTTCCACGTATTGGGATGTTGTGTTGTTTTTGCGCTCATCCGTCGCAGGTGTTCGCGGTAGTCGCGCTGTAGCGCATTTTCTCCCTAGTGTGTGCGGTGCTGACCTCGGCGCGAAGTCGCCCCGACGCCGCAGTGGCGGCGCGGGAACGGTCTCTAGTGTCGAAGGATGTTCCTGCTTGGTCGCTTCTCGTTATGTGTTGGAGTCCACGGCGTGCCGTAGCCGTCATATCTGATGATTAAACTAGACCCCCCGTAAACTGGGTTTGATAGTTTCTTTTTTCTTTTTCACATATCAATATGTGGTTCTCAGGGGCTGTCCGTTTCCCAGTCTCTGAAAATACGGCCCATGTCATGTGGCCGTTTGCGACTATTGCCACTGACGCGGCTCCGTGTTGCGCCTCGCCTCAGATTCCGGGCAACGAGACGCTGTGCTTCAACTACACGATCCGCCGCTGGTTCCCGGTGGCCAACATGACCAAGTACCGGCGCGCCCTGCTGTACGAGCAGTTCCAGCCGGGTGAGTGCGGGGGAGGGGGCGGGGCGTCAGGCCGCGCCGACCACGCGGCGGACCCGGTTGCGCTGGGGTTGGATTGCCGGCTTTGCTGCGAGGGAGTCGGCGACTGCGCAGGTCTGGAGCAAGAGAATGCGCGAGGCTTTGTCGCGCGACTACGTCATCTGTGCGCGGGGTTGGAACCGTCTGGAGACGCGGCATTCGATGAGCCGCCGATAGCGGTATTTCGGCTCACCTTCAAAATGAACGGCGAACACCATTGTTCGGCGTGGTTAAGTGACTGTGATATTGACTGGTGTCATTTTTCGTACAAAAATGTCCCACGATGCTAGGTCTGGAGTCTACCAAAGGCGGTTGCGGTCGCGTTCAGTTCCGATTGTTGCACACATCGAAGAGCTGGACAAAGCTTATAAAAGCGTCGTGGTTTAATCTCGTGCCTGATCCAATTTTGAGGGATGAAAAGAGGGTATTTTCGAGTTTTTGTCGTGCGAAGTGCGTGTTGAAGCTGTCGCATTCTGTTCAATTGCAAAGCGAGTGAAAAACTAGGTCGAACAACTGTGATCTGCATGTACGCGCTGACACCGCCGGTTCACTCTTTCAGAGCTGTTCGAGATGCAGATGGTGAACTCCACCGTCCTGCACGTGCTCAACATCTGCGAGGTGTGCGGCTCTTACCAGTGCCCCTACTGTCCCTTCTACTCGTCCTCGGGCCTGGCGTCTGCCTCCGCGGCGCTGCTGGCGATGGGCGCCGCTGTTGCGCTCTGGCTCGGCCCCCGCTAGGGCCCCCAGCAGGGCGCGCTCGGGGCTCGCTAGGGTCACCGGCAGGCCGCGCTCGTCTGCGGCCTCGTTCGGTCGCCGGCCGCCAGGGGCGCCAGTGTACCGGAGCGGCGCGGGCCCCAGGTGGTCCCCGGGCTGGACCGGACCCGTCACGCTGCGGGGTGTGGACTGGAGCGGGCGAGCAGTCGACGGCTGGCAATCTTGGTAACCTGGCATGATGGTTGTATGGTAATCTGGTGCTTTTATTCTTTTGGATGCTTCGATTTGTTACACCCTGTGGGCAGTATTGCCCGTTTTACGAGGCGCACGTATCGCGCCCACGTTTCAAGTGTACCCCCTCCCCCCTCCCTAATCCTTCAGGTGCTGCCTTGTATCACATGTACGCTCTTGGTCAGTACTGGCCAGATGACGCTCACTTGCGTCAATTAACGCATTCCACTCCAGTAGCTGTGACGCACTTCGTGTTTTCATGTATCGTATCGGTCCGTTCCGTTGCGTTTCGGCCCGCTCCGAGGATAGCGTATCGGCTCAGCGGCCGTGTGTGGCGCTGGCGTAGCCCCGCGCTGGGCCAGCATTGGCAGCGCCTTTGTGCAGTGCGTCCGCGGCTACGCGACAGAATCTCAGCGCGTTTCAGTGTCCAGTCTTCCATGTGAAGTGAGGCTCAGTCTGTCGACGACACCAAAGTAGCATCTTTCATTCCGCTGTTCGCCATGTTATTCTGCGATCGTCTGCTTGGCACGCTCGTCAGCTGTATAGCTGTGTCCATCCTGCATCTGTACGTTCTCATTGTGTTAAAGACATTCATTTATCGAAACTATGCCAAAATGCATCCAGTTACAGTTAATGCAGCTGTGCGGTAGCTTTAGGTCCTGTTTTAGTCGTGAGACCGCATATAGATGCCTGTTCATTGTTCCATGTACTTAAATGAGACGTTCTCTGTAGAAGCCTCGTATAAGGCATTCGCCGCACGTTTGGCTTCCCGTCCTTGATGCTATTTCAAGGCCCCGTGAGGATTACGGGCTACTAAATTGTCCGCCAGCCAGGCCCTCGGGTCTCCTATCTCTGTTTACCCCTGGCAAAGGCGGGCCAACGCAACGCGGCCGGGTGGACGTCGCGTCCAAGAGGGCCTGCTTGTGGTTTTTATGCGACTTCCATCCGGTGGCCCGCGGACGGAGTCAGCACAGTGGCGAAGGGGAACGCCATGCTGGCGCGTCGTATTGCGCGGCCGCCTGCCGCTACCTTTTTTTCTTGCCGACGCTGGGTAAGATGTGGTGGAGCTAAATGTAAACTCCACGTCATTAAATGCGGATGGATCCAAGCAGAAGGGCACAGCCAGCATCCCGTTCCTCGGGCACTGGACTCCCTTTTGTCACGTTAAGTATCTGAACCTGTGTTCCTCCATTTACCTCTGCTTTTGCACTTCACACTGCTACCGTTTTTTGCTGGCACGTGCTCACGCCTGTTGAAGGATGCCGCAGCGTGTGCCGTGTTGTGACACGCGTTGCCGCGCCGTCGCCCAGTGTGTGCGGTCGAAACTCGTCGGTCCACACTGTGTTATCTCGAATCCGCACTTTGTCGGGTTGTAGTTAGGGATCGTCCATACGCACCGTGCTGTCTCGAATACCCACTTTGTCGGGTTGTATTTAGAGACCGAATCTCGTCCGTCCACTTCGTGTTGTCTCGAATCCGCACTTTGTCGGGTTGTATTTAGGTATCGAATCTCGTCCGTCCACGCATTTTTGACTGGTGTTGATGCCTTGTCGCCCTATACTTGGTACCGAATCTCATCCGTCCGCGCTGTGTTGATGGGCATACTTTGTCGCCCAATATTTGTAATCGAATCCCCTGCCGGGGCAGTTGCGTTAACTGACGCAGCTTAATGCAGGCGCTTCGTAATAAAAGCACTCTCGCGGTGGCGCGTGAATAAATGCTGCGATCGCGGTAAGAAGACAGCGTTGGCGCCGGATCAGACAGGCTGAGCCATTTGCCCCCATTTGCAGTGGGGATAATCGTGCCGATGGAATCCATTTCCGCTTCGACTCGGAGCCAACTGAGTTAATATCGACTCTGACTGGGCAGCGCAAGCCAAGTTGCAGTTGGCCCCGACCCAGGGACAAGGCCTTTTTTTGCATTTACTGCACGCGCATCAACATTAAGTAACAATGATACAGTCCAGCCTGACACCTCCTTTGAGCCGACTCATCGATGAGTCCAGTAACTTTGGTAGGTTAACCACGGGGTTAAACCACAAAGACATCGACAGGAACGGATTCTATCTCTACTGGCAAAGGTCTCGTTAACCGTGGATAGGACTCCCAGACTGCGCGGAGCGGAGGGCAAGCGAACAAACCAGTTTGCCGTAGCGCATGAAGGCCGCGCCGCGGAATCCTACACGCACATTCAAAGGTCCCGGCACGTGCATCGTGTTGAATAATTTCCTCACTATGGGGAGAATACGAGGGCCTCAGTTGAAATTCCGACCCGCGTGTCGTGCGTCTGACGCATCCGCGGCGTCTGACTCGAGCTGGCACGACGCCAGCACTACACACCAGGCTCTGACCTCTGACCTCACCAGGAGTCGGGACTGCTGTCCCTAACTATCCACAAAGTACGGACGCTCACCGACAGAACACTACATTCTCCAGGCGTATCAATCTCCACTTGTATTCCCAATGAGTCACAACACGCTCTCACCACTGCACGCACACGACAGTACGCGCTCGCTCCCGCCCCACCAGCCAGCGACCAGCTCGACCGACCGCCCCGCAGTCCCAGTCAGCGCTCGCCCGCTCCACTCAGTGACCTATCTCACCACATAATCAGCCGGATAATCGAACACCTTGGGGAAGTCGCGCACCTCCTGTTCGGTGTAGGAGTCGAGCCGGCGCGGCTGCGGCCGCAGCTGCGTCATCTGGCTGGTCACGTGACGCAGCAGCTCGGCGGGCACCTCGGCGTCGGCCACGAGGTGGAGGCGCGCCATCAGGGGCTTGCGCAGCAGCGTGCCGCCCACCGCCCGGTGCACCGCCCGCTGCATAATCTGGCCGCACAAGCGCGCACAGGTACAGCAGTGAGCAAGGTCAGGGGCACCGCCGGTCCCACACATGTGCAGTATTTTAATGGGGGGACTTGCAGACACGCTGCGTAAGGACGGTGTACAGCGCGTACCATTGTTTGAACGTCTTACGCAGCGGCAAGGCAGGACGTGACTTTTATGGCAAACGGGTAGTTCTGCTAAAACACATGCAACTGGCGTATGGTGACACTAACGCAACCTTGATAAGACGGCACAACATTCAAAACGTGAATGACACAACACAGCGATCGATATGGCGAACAAGCGACGCATCTAAAAACGGGATGTGTCAGCCCTTACGATGAGCCGGGATGCCGGGGGCGGGGGGGGGGGGGGGGGAGGGATCGCACCGCAATCATGAATCGTGGTGGCGGGAAAATTGAGAAGGCATCGATGCGTAATAGTCTTGTGCCATGCGCACCTGCAAGGTAGCGACCTGAAACGTTTAGGAGCGTTCGTGCCGGGCGCCCTGGCGGCTCTCAGTTCTCACCATGGTCGGGTTCTTCCGGTGCAGCTCCCAGGCCAGCGTCCAGGTGGCGCCGCCCTTAGGGTAGCCTGTGTGGTGGAAGAAGACCCGCTGGTACCATTCGGGCCCGGGAAGGGCGATTTCCCGACAGTTTGTCACCACCACGTGGTCGCCGCAGTCGCCTGTCATGAACGGATGGCGTCATGTCTCGGCGAAGGCAGCGAGTCAACCATCACATAGCTGATCGACGGAGCAAACTGGCACAAATGAGGATGAGGAGCCTGGTAGGCAGGTCTGTTGGCCATGAACAATAAACATGCATTGCTTACAGGGATTGTCACCTTTGGTGGCTATCACAAAACTGCGTAATGAGTGAAACTAACTGCAGTAATGGAAGGTGCACTAAGTTAATCCAAAACATAATGATCCCATTTCAAGTCTAGAACAGCTGGGCAGAGCTGTTATTGGCACCAACTGACTCCAAGTGTGGTCACTACCAGCAGCCCTAGCAAAGTGCAGTGCATTTCTGGACAGTTCACACTAGTTGGCCACAGCAAGCTGATGCCAGCCTTGGCAGTGCCCTCAAGTTGAAATGTGCATAATGCATGAAAACATTGGTGCATGAAGGTTCTGAATGACCTACACTTATGATGGGCTGCTGCACCTATGGCTACAAGCAGATCCTGATGAAACACGTGAATGTCTTTATTTTGAATGGATAGTCTGTAAACTGAACTGCTTGGACAATCCACAGGGGGCACAAGACATGGGAGACAATGAAGTCTAGAGAAAATAAAATGGCATTCAACCTGATGTTTTTACTGGCTGTACTTTGAGCTAAAAATGCATTATACAAACAGAACACAAGATGCACAGTGCACGTTTAGTTTGCCTTCCGCAAAGCAATGCAGTTATACTTACTCAAGGGGTGATATATTGGTTTGTGCTGCCCCTTCAAATATGCTGCAATTAGCTTGGCTGATTCAAAAGGGTTCTGCCACTTTGCATCATATATGTGCCAGATGCGAGAAAAGGTAGCCCATTGCTGCAAAATGAAAATGTTGAGTGTCACATAGGCATCACAATACAATAATTACAATTTTTCTTGTGAAGTTAGGTATGCTTATCAGTTTGAGTTATTCATGATTGAAAGTTAGCACTGACATTGGTTTTGCAAATCAGTTAAAAAAAGTTTGCAGTCTCAAATCCAGCCTATCATGACATAGCACAGCAAAGATGAACATTTTTGGGGGGAGGGCATCAAAAGGGCTTACCCACCTTACACCTACAAAGTTAGGAACCAAAAGCAGCCTAGCATACTTGTTTCTAATCAACTGATTTGTCATGCCATATTACATCAAACTCAGGTTCAGTGAACAGATCACCCACCAAAAACCATCTTGCACCAAGCAACATACCTTGGCTCTTTGCATAGATGACATTTTTCAAGACCACATGTATGCTCCAACAGTCTTACTGTGCCTGGCCTGAAACTATGCAGTCACTTCAGTTATCACACATGACACTCCAGTGACATAGTTAATGGCAAACACACAAAAATCATGTTATGGCAACTCCCTGCTGCCAGAAAATTTAAACAAAAAATACTTTCAAGAAACAACATGCCTTGAGCTTCAGTTAAGTTCATGAACTAATGCAGACTGCAGCTTTATACAAATCACAGAAAATTGGTGCCACAGAGCACTCTTTGTCCCAAGTTAGAAATGACAGAGCTGCTGCCGTGTTTACAATCCACGTATCACCTCAAGGCACCATATGCCTCAAGAACATCAGTAACATGGTTACCCCACTGCAGGTTATGGTCTCATAGCTATTGAATTGACCTGTTACACCATCCCTCAAGGTGGCAGGTAGCACTAGCTATGAGCAGGGTTGCAATGAAAGCTTTTCTTCATGCTACATAACACAAAACTTATCAGATTTGACTGACTTCCCATTCTGCATTTCACCAGCCCTCACAAGCATGGTCAAGGCAGGCTGCTGTTTTGGTAGTTGCAAATATCTGCCACCTTTGATTGAAAAAGGTTGGTGTCATAGAACAATCATGGTAATATGAAAACCAACTTAAGGCAACACTATACCACATCTGCATGCCACCTGTCATGGATTGTGGCTTTACTAAAGCAATGAGATACAGGAACTCCTTTTCTGCCTTCATAGAACAATGAAAGTGACAGCTTCAGAAATCGCAAAAGACACCAACACAGGTCAGCACAAGGTCCCGATCCAAGGAAACTAAAAGCACAATACAACACTGACACGTTTGACCGATATGTAGGAGGGAAAATTGAGGATCATACTAGAAAGTATGGGTTGGTCTGAGCAACACACCATGACCACCCATGTGCAGACACAATGCAACAAACTGAAAATATTCGATTTTAATGGGCTGATTTCATACATTGGCAGACATAGAACATCAATAATGAAAATAGCCGAATGGTTGAGTGCATTCCATCATCCCAAGCCATCATTCAATCCCAGCTACTTCTGCAAAAGCCAAAAATGGCTTTTGAATTTTTCATTTCATTAACCGATGTCACCAGCTTCAGTCAGCACCATAGTCAGCTAATTCTTAATAAATTTCATTTGTGAACCCCCGTGCTTGCGTCTTATCCTGTTGACTGTCTCGTGTACCTATCACCTTGATTTGCTACCCACACCGGAATTTCGTTATTCCTCGGCTCTAAAGCGCCAGTTATGGAACATTCGTCGACACCTCTTCAGCAATTATGAAAAATGAGAGTAGTTGATAGCTCAGCACGGAAAAGAGTACTGATGGCATTTAAAACAATTAACGGGTTGAACATAAATTAGAATTATACCTGCTAGAGATTGCCTATCGCACTAATAAGATGTAAATAACCTTGCTCTTGATGAAGAGAAAATCAGCTGTAGTGTCGACATTTCCAAAGCAAAAGTTACAAAGTTAGCGCAGGCATAAGTTCCTGTCCACTCTAATGCAGCTGTGCCATCTATGCCATCGTATACAATTCATACAATCTTTGAACTAAAGCGTTGGTTTTGTTGTGGCAGGAGGTATTGTTGAATTGGGCTGTGAGAATCGTGAGCGAGGGTGGTTGTGAAGAGAACCAAGGCAATAATGATGTCAAATGCTCTGAGAGCCTTGGCTGGATACGTAAGTTCCCGTTTTACATCGCTGTCGTGTGTACTGGCTACTGATGTCCAAAAATGTATGCAGTTCTAGTGATCTGACTACTGGCTTGGAGACTGGATTGGACCTAGCATCTCTTAGGCCCAATTGTTGGGTGGGCCCATGCTGGCAGGATATGTGTCTAAGAAGTTCAATCACATGGCTTGGTGTACTTTCCTACCTAATGTTAGAAAAATCATTGCACACCATTCGTCGTGTTCAAGGCGGCACATATCATAAATCATCTCAGAACAGGTAGAATCATGCTCCTACCTTCGAATTTCAATAACTTCGATGGGGAGCTCCCGAGCGCCGCACGCACCCCCCCAGCGCCGTTTCTGCGTTGCCGTTGCGTAAATACAATATTTCTGCTTACCAAGAACTCTACAACAAGGTAAACCATTTGTCGTGTTTAAGGCGGAACATATCGTAAATAATTTCAAAACAGATAGAATCGTGCTCCTACCCTCGAATTTCAATAAGCAACCAAAATCGTTTCTTATCGAGTTTAGGTACATTTATGAAACACGCAGGCCAGAATAGTCCAGAACATATCCTAACCTAACCTAACCTAACCTAACCTAACCTAACCTAACCTAACCTAACCTAACCTAACCTAACCTAACCTAACCTAACCTAACCTAACCTAACCTAACCTAACCTAACCTATCCTAACCTAACTGAGAATAGACCAGAACCTAAGCTAAGCTAAGCTAAGCCAGCCTGACCTGACCTAACCTAACCTAACCTAACCTAACCTAACCTAACCTAACCTAACCTAACCTAACCTAACCTAACCTAACCTAACCTAACCTAACCTAACCTCCCCACCCTATATCCCCTTCAACCCAGCATCTCATTGGCATCCATGTTCCATGCCATATATAGGTGCCATATAGTGAGCTTTTATTTAGCTGCCATGTTCTCATTTTGCTTTACATTCCCCACCCAATCCCCCGATCAAATTTCACGGATTCTTGCTACCTTGCCCCAGTACATTTTTATGGTTCGCGGTAAATATGGTGTATAGTTATAGTATGGTTTATATTGTATAGTTTATAGTTATAGTTATGGTTTATAGTATGGTTTGCAGTTAATATGGTTTATATGGTAAATATGGTTATGGTAAATATGGTTTATGTTTAGTAAATATTTTTATGGTTCGCAGTTAGGTTATGGTTGTCCTGCCTTAAACATGACGAATGGTTTACTTTGGTCCCGTACATTTTGTACAGTTCTTGGTACGCAGAAATATTGTATTTACGCAATGGCAACGCGGAAACGGCGCTGGGGAGTCCAGGCGGTGCGGTGCGCGCGGCGCTCGGGGGCCCGCCATCGAAGTTATTGAAATTCGAAGGTAGGAGCATGATTCTACCTGTTTTGAGATTATTTACGATATGTCATGCATTAAACACGACGAATGGTGTACAATGATTTTTCTAACGTTAGGTAGGAAAGTACACCCTGACCCATGGCTTCATGCCAGATTGCAGATAATACATGCTACACTGAGTATGCTTGTCATATTACAGGCATCCATCAACAGCATCAGTGCATGCATGTTGTAAATCTGGTATTCCATGGGTTGATTTGCAATTGCCACTAGGTTAAGTACTGAGAGTCAGTGTTTTGAGGAATTATGCTGCTAAGTTAACTTTAATGAACAGTGCTTACAGCACAATTTGGCCTTGCCTGAATTGGGTTATCCATGTCCCAGATTCAGAGGACTTGCTTCAAATAAGGGTCAGGCTGAGTGGAGGGATTTTTTGCCCAGGGCTGAAAGCTTAAGATATAAATTGTGTGTTGTGCTAAACATATTTGGGGCAGTGCCAATGATTCCAGCACAGTTACACTGAAATTAGAAAGCCTTGAGTTGGGCACATTATCACCATTGACTTTCTGCCACTGTATCAGATTGCAATGGTTATTTTAGACAAAGCTCCATGTGAAAATGCAGGGGTACCTGTGCTGAAAAACCTGAAAAATGCATGCAAAGTTCAGCATATCTTCATTTGAGCTGAGCTTTGCTCATATGTGCTGGGTTCATCATATCAGTTTTGAAATGAATGGATTTAATTTTCATGCTGGGTTGAGGTAATGTTTCTGGGCTTTGATATGTTTGATATCTGCTTTGCATCACTAAAAATCCATCTTGGCACAGGGCCATTAAATAAAAATTCAGCCCTCAAATATGGGGTCAGGCTGAAAATCTGAACTACTTTATTATATTTCATAATATCATGCTGTGTGCTGCTGCCCAAAAACTAAAATGCTTGAGTATTATCACCTACATATCAAGTGTCTGAGGCTGAAGTCCCATTTGTTGTCCCACGCTGGTGCTGAGAGCAATTAACCCGCTAAACTGGAATGGCGCAACTTTGGGATGGCAGGGGCTCAGGGTATGTACAACAATCCCTGCCTGGCCAATGGGAGCCATATGACCAGGACAGTCAGCTCACCCTTAAACCCAAATCATCATCATCATCTGCTTAGGAGATGCTCAGCACAGCTTGAGAAGATGGTGCTCATTGTATACCATAACAGGCTGATTTAATCTCCGCACAAGCCCATCCAGGTTCCTGCTTTTTCACACTGAGTTGAAATGTGAAGATCTGTTTGGTACCACTATATCTAAAAATTGCAGATATCACCACATGCATTACTGCCATGTAGCAGTCATTAACAAGTGGACAGTCAGGTGAGGCATCAGCCTGACCCATGTTGTTGTTCTACAGGCGCAGAGGGGGGTACGGCAGCTGCACAAGACCTCCCCTGCTGCCAGTGGCCAGTTGTTCGTCCACCGGGACTCAGACGCCAACAACCCGAACACGCCGTTCGAGTTCACGGCCGATAACCTGAAGGTGAGGACTGACCTGTTGCTGAGTCGGGTCAGTCTACGCCGATGACCTGGTGCTGGTGGCCGGGCCAGTCTCCGCCGATGACCTGGTGCTGGCGGCCGGGCCAGTCTCCGCCGATGACCTGGTGCTGGCGGCCGGACCAGTCTCCGCGGATGACCTGGTGCTGGTGGCCGGGCCAGTCTCCGCGGATGACCTGGCGCTGGCGGCCGGGCCAGTCTCCGCCGATGACCTGGTGCTGGCGGCCGGACCAGTCTCCGCGGATGACCTGGTGCTGGTGGCCGGGCCAGTCTCCGCGGATGACCTGGCGCTGGCGGCCGGGCCAGTCTCCGCCGATAACCTGGTGCTGGTGGCCGGGCCAGTCTCCGCGGATGCCTCTGTGCAGGAGGATGGTTCTGGACCACTGGAAGTATTTGGGATCCAAAAGTTGTGTGTCATTGGGGCTTCACGTCGCACTCAGCTGCTGAAGCTATATGGCGTCGCCTGCCTCTCACCCTGGTAGGAAGGGTGGGCACCGTGGGGTCGTTGGGAAGGCGGTACCTTGGGAAGAATGGATGCTAACAGAATACAGGTCTTCCATATGCCTGGGTGGTCCAGGTTCCGGAGATTCGGAATGTTCAGAAGGGAAGCAGAACCTGGTTTAACTAGGGCCGTGTTGAGATCTATGTGTTTCTTTGATCTGAAGTGGTCCCACATCTCCAACGTACATATCCATGTATGTTGTAAAGAACTTTATTTCAAACTGGTGTATAGCTGTGGCGCTCTTGGACTCGCACCAATGATTATCTGTTCTCAAAGTGCTTATCAGTAGATGAAGTCCCATCAAGATCCACCACGTGTCACTGCCCAGTAGCTTGATTTGGCCGCCACAGCCTGCTAGATGGCCCACAACCATGAGGCGAACTGGCGGCCGAACAGTGTGGTCACGTCCGCGTGGCGGCCGGATGTATAACCCGCTGCTGCGTGTTTCTGTTGCGTCCGTCTGGACAGGTGGCGGCTGCCGACCTGCGTCTGCCGTCCCGTCCCGTCCCGTCCCGTCCCGCGTCCCGTCCCGTCCCGTCCCGTCCCGTCCCGTCCCGTCCCGTCCTGCCGGCTGGTAGATCCGTGGCCCGCCGCTGTGTGACGTCTCGTCGCTCCCGTCCCGGCGGCGGTCAAGCCTCCGCTCCAGCACCGCATAACGCTCTAGTTTCCCGCTGTCACACGAGGCGCTGTGTTTGACCCGCTGCACTGCCGCGCGTGTGGCGTGTCGACAGCGGGCGGAAGCCATCATCTCCATCTACCCGGACGGCCACCAGAAGGCGGCCGTGATCCCGCTGCTGGACCTGGCGCAGCGGCAGCATGGCTGGCTCCCCATCTCGGCCATGCACGCCGTCGCTAAGATGCTCGACATGCCCAACATGCGTGTCTACGAGGTGGCCACCTTCTACACCATGTTCAACAGGTCGGAGCCAGGCGGACGCTCTCGCTGGTGACCCATAACTGTTGATCGTAAGGGGTTGATGTGCCAGTGTAGTTGGTTCAGTTTGCTGAGTAGCTCGCGCCGGGCCGCGTTTTTGGCAAAGCCTGTCAGGCGCCGCCGCTTGTCTGATGCTGGGTCGAGCCCAGCGTTTCAGCGATCCCGTGTGATTTTCGCGGCTCGAGAACCTCCCATCCTGAAGTGAGGCCTTGAGCGCCGTGTGGTCCCATGCGCTGGAGCGGCCCACCGCTCGCCTGCTGGTGGCGGCGGCCCGGCGGCGTGCTGTACCGTCTGCCGCCAGACCGGGGCTGACAGCGCCGGTCGCGTGCCGCCGCTGGCCGCCCGCTGACCGTCCGCCCGCTCGCCAGGAACCCGGTGGGCAAGTACCACGTGCAGCTGTGCGGCACGACGCCTTGCTGGCTGTGCGGCTCCGACGACATCATGGCCGCCATCCAGAACAAGCTCGGTGGGTACCGCGCCGGCGTCCTCGGCCGGCGGGCGTCGGGCCCGCCTCGCCGCGGTCTGCTGGGGACGGCCGCTCTGCGCGCCTGTGTCGTTAGGCCGTCAGGCGACGCCGGTGGCCTGCGCCCCCTACCACATCCATTAATCACATTCGCCGCCGCTCTGTATACCGCTTTGGCGGCATTCATCAGCCGCTAAGGCGACATGAATGCAAGGCGGGGAACCTTTTTCGTGCCAATTAACAGCTCAATGTACAAATTTTCAGCTGACGCGGAATTTCGCCCGCGCCGTCGGCAGGCTCTAAGCAATCGCGTGACGACATGTACATGAAAGTAGACGCCGTAAATGACCGAGCGCCAACTCAGACCCCCCCCCCCCCCCTGCGGCAAGTGCTTCAAGTAAAATGTGAACCCAAGTCGATAGAGGGACCCTGGACACGCCTGTTGCCAGCCTGTACCGCTCGGCAACAGTCTTTTGCTAGTTTTGAATCCTGTGATGGGCTAATGACATTTCCAAGGGCAAGACGAGCCAAGAACTTCAGTGGGCGTTGCGTTCACCCTTTCCAACTGCATGCTGCTTTTCACTCTCGCTGCGCCCAACAATCTCTAGAAAGGTTAGATGTCATGTAACCCACTGATTTTATTTTTTGTCCGTTGCTGCACACTTAGACGACATGAGTCAAAAGCGGAGATGGTGGGATGGGGGGGGGGGATAACCACGCCCACTACAGATCAGCCCGTAGACGGGAATGTTGGCGTGCAGGCAAATTGGAATGCCTGCTAGACAATTGTAGTGTTCGCAAATGTTTTTTGACATTAGTAGGGAGTGTTCCACATTAGTATGAGGGTTTTGAATTGATACCGACGTATTGAAGATAATTCGGTGCATTTCACAGCCCTGCCCTTCCTCAGACCTACACCCCTCTAGTTTCTAAGCTACATGCCCGCGACGATGGGCAGACTTTTACGGAGACTGTTTCAAAGTCATCCAGCCATCCAAGATGTCATAACAACGTCATTCAAACCTGTCATTCCAGTAGCCATGTGGCAGGCAAGGCTAAGCAATATTTGACCGTCGAGTCGTTCATATGTGGCGTTTGTAGAGGCGATTTCCACATACAACGGCCGTCGATTGGCTCTCAATAGTGTGCGAGTTACGATGGCGCAATCAAACAATGAGGTATTGAGGGCCATTTTTACTGAACAGGGATATTGTGTTGTCTGGAGCAGCCTATTCCACTTGAACTTTCCAAGTATACTTATAAGTTACACGTGAGCTGATTTCATGATGCTTGTCCTTGCTTCAATATCTTCAAATGTGGAGCATTCCGGCTCGCATTCCGTTTAGCATTCCGGCTCGCGAGCAGCCGCTATATGTCCGTGAGAATTTGGAACATTCGCGAAGGTCGCAACGCATTATATCATGAAGTTTGGAAGCACAAATCAAAACCGCTAGCTTTAGAAGTTTGGCATCCAAGCTTGAGCACCGCCACGTCCGAAGTTCGCGTCAGCCCGCTCTTGACCGAATGTTTCATTTTGTCCATCTTGCTAAAAGTGTCAATTAATTTTTGCGGATGGTTTTACATTTGTTCGAAAATCGTACATTTGCTGTATTGCCGACTTTGGTCTGCATTTCTCAATTTCTGGGAGCACAAACTTGTGTTCTGCGGCCTGAGGAGCACCAGCTGCTCAGTCTACCGCGGCGCGTTTTCGTGAGGCACAGGGGGCAACTTCGGCGTCTGGCTACGTGGCGGTGGCGCGGCGCGGCGCGGCTGCTCCACGACGTCCATCTTTTCACCTCGTGGTACGCAGGTTCGAAAGTCGATGCCATTCGCGTGCCGCCACTGAATAAACGACTGGTACTACGCAGCGGCTTACACAGAATGTTTAAGGTATAGGTAGCTGACGGAGTTACGAATGGTAACCTAACCTGAAACACAACAGAGAATACAACATTTATATCGGAAACAGGAGTACAGGGAACTGGTACGAATGCGTCGTCCATCCATAGAGATCAAAACAGCTGCCGATTCCGGGTTTGGAACATGGCGGCCTTTGCGACGTCGTAGAAGTCTCTTCCAATGACTTCTTGCTGTCGATAGCAGACTTGACATTGGTATGCACAGAGACCGCATAAGCGCTTACCGCCGCAGACGGGCCACGCAGCAGCAAATCGTCGGCGGCCGCATCGCCGCGCGTCGGCCGCAACCGGCGGCGTACCGCAGTGTTTTTGTCTGAGATTGCCCCGGGCGTCCGGCAGACAGGCCCGTAGGGAGCTGGCGAAAACCTCAGACGCCAGACGAGCCGTCCAAATTGGCAATCGGGCTGCGACCCGCGGGGCGTGCTGCTGGTGCCGAGATGAGCGAGCGTAGCGCGGGCGGTGCGGACGTGGTGCGGACGTAGCGCGGACGGTGCGCACGTGGCGCGGGCGGCCCGGCCGTGGCGCGGGCGGCTTGGACGTGGTGCGGACATAGCGCGGATGGTGCGGACGTGGCGCGGGCGGCCCGGCCGTGGCGCGGGCAGCTCGGACGTTGTACAGACGTGGCGCGGGCGTTGCGGACGTGGCGCGGTCGGCCCGGCTGTGGCGTGGGCGGCCCGGCCAGGTCGGGAACGCCGCTGCCGACACGCTGCAGCTGGCACGCAGTTGTGGTAGGCTCCCTGGTTGGGCAGCATGTGCGCTTACGGAAAACGGCCGCGTGCCATCCGTGGACGCCGTGGGCGGTGCATGGACTGCGCTAGGAAGTGCCCCTTTGAAACAGGGGCTGCACTGTCACCGTTGTGCAGCAGTCCAGATGTGGGAAAATGCTGCCCTCTCCACCACCTTGTTTGTTACCCTTGCCCTGGAGGGTTCGCCTGACACGTCCATAGTGGCCTTTGTCAGCTGGCTTGTTCGTGGTATGGACTCTCGCCAACGTGTGAGTGATTGCAAATGCCACTGTCTTTCCCCGTTGTGATTGGTGTATTCGGGAAGGGCTAGCCGATTGGCGTGTCGGGCGCCACGTCGATGGAAATGTGTTGCTGTCGTTTATTTCCGATGATAAGCATGCCGCAGTAAGACGTGGTTTGAGGGGTGGACTGACGCGAGAGCGCAACGCTTAAAGCTAAGCGCTTCCCTCATCAGAGACGACAGTCGAACAATCGGTTTGTACCGTAAGCGCCTCTCCCATCAACCACTGCAGCTGACCAATCGGTTATTGCTGCTGGCGAACCGATGACCCATCGCCCATTCTTCCGGCCTGCCGGCTTTGGCGAACCACAGGTTGGCCGCCGTTCCGCCTCACACTCACAGGCCGTCACCTGCCGACGGCGGACACCCGGCTCGGTGGCGCCACCAAGCCAACCCTCAGCTGCCCACGCCTGCTGGAGGCCGTGAAGCGAGTTATTCGGTTTGGAGAACGCATGCGTGGAAAATGTCGGCTATCTGCTGCATATAAACCGTTGCCTCTAGTCTAGTAAATTGCCTCATAATTGCCTCAAGTCATATAAACCGTTGTCTCTAAGATAAATGTTGAGTTGTTGGTCTTCATTAAGCACTCGCAGAAGTTTTGGTTCAGGTGTTCTGTTTCACACATCGTTGCAATTCTGGCTTGATGATGGAGTGGGACTGCGCAGAATGTGGTGTTTTTCGGTCTTTATCTGTGTGAACTACGAACACAAAAAAGACGAAATGTTGAATTGCGGATTTCGAACATGTGAGCTTTGAGAAGGTTTAGCAATTCTGCCGACTGAAACTATTTTCTGCCATTTTTCTATGGGTTACGGGTTAAAGCCAGCGTAAACTAAAAGAAATTCAGAAAGTTGTTATATCATTTTTTGTATTCAACATATCGTCAAAACGCAGATCCCATGTTTTCTATTAAATAAATACAAAACAAACCTCAAATTATTACAAAAGCATGATCAAAATGTGTGGCGTATCAGCTGAACTGGTCCACCAATCAGCACCTGAACTTATATCCTAAGTCCGCTGAACATGGCCTGCCTTACATTTGATTGCTCCTTTAACCAGCTGCAGGACGCTACCACGCAGATGAATTTATTTATCCAGCATTATGCAGCAGTGAATAGATAAATCACCGTGAAAGATGATTGAGTACTATAAAATCTGCTTCAAGTCAAAAGGAACTGGCTAATGCGTCACAGGTCATGCATGATTGCAACGCAATGTCATGGGACAAAATTATATTACTATTGCCTTTGAAATGTGCATATGTGGTCTGAAGCAAGACCTGTAGTTTTACGGCGGGATGGCACTAGCAATTTGAGTTTGGCGTCCCCAAAACCCGATGATCATTTCTTTCCACGTATTTCGACAAGTCAATACAAGTCGCCGGTGCATTCTACAAAACATGTTCTCGCACGCTGTGGAACTATTTAGGATGGAGCACGATAATGTTACAGAGACATATACGAACCATACACGAACCGACACTGCTTCACTCTCAACAACAACCAACGGCCCAGATAAAATACGCACGCGACATTAGTTGCGAAAGCAACAAGACACCCGGTAAGCAACGCGATGACACACAGCCTTCGAACAGGGTCATAGCACACCAGAACTCCAGCATACCACCCACCACGAGAAAATGGAGCCCAGCCCTGCTCGAGGTCACGCACCCTACAGTTCTCAATCCTGCAAACGACAGATACAAGGACGCTGCGGTGCGAACACACCGCCAGTGTATCACAGCTTTGACACGCCGGGAAGCATCTCAAATGCTAGCCTGGGAATGGGAATGTCAGTCGCCAATGTCAGGGTTCGCAGCGGCCGGTTGAAACAGTTTCTGCCCGCCGGTTTTCGCCGGATAAAACCGGTCGGCTAAAACTACGGGTAGTAAACACTGGCAGAAACTGCTCAAACCCAAGTATTGCGGAACATGCTTGAAGCCAATGGAGCGAGTGGGATAGCAAAATAAGCTGTATGTTTAGCATACATAACTGGATGAAGAAAATCCAAGACGTCAGATATTAATATGAAGATGCAATGAATACTCACTTACAC